GAACGAACGTCACTCCACATGCTCAGTTCTGAGAGATAAGTGTGTGTGAAAAACGTCCTTCACCTAGCTTGAAGGGACACAAAGTTTCTTTTCAGTTTCCAAATCCCATCCATAAATATATATGGGGAGGTACAAGCTCCAACTCGGTTTTACAGTGAAAACGGCAGGCAATTCAAGCCGGCACTAGGAAACAGACTGGGAAACCAGAATAGGTGTATCTCCGTCAACCCGTTCCAGTTGTGCTGGATGAAAGAACGTCTCTCCACATGCTCAGTTCTGAGAGATAAGTGTGTGTTAAAGCCTAACATCATATAGCTTGAAGGGAACACAAAGTTTCCTTTCACTTGACAACTCCTCTCCATACATATGTATAGGGACGTATAAGCTCCAACACGGTTTTATAGTGAAAACGGCAGGCACTTCAAACCGGCACAAGGAAACAGAATGAGAAACCAGAGTAAGTGTTTCTCCTGCAACCTTTTCTCTTTGTGCTGGATGAAAGAACGTCTCTCAACATGCTCACTTCTGAGAGGTAAGTGTGAGTGAAAGCCGTACTTCACCTAGGTTGAAAGGAACACAAAGTTTCATTTAAGTTGCAACTACCCTCCATACATATGTATGGGAAGGTACAAGCTCCAACTCTGATTTACAGTGAAAACGGCAGGCACTTCAAACCGGCACTAGGAAGCAGACTGAGAAACCAGAGTAAGTGTCTCTCCTGCAACCGGTTCCCTTTGTGCTGGATGAACGAACGTCTCTCCACTTGCTCAGTTCTGAGAGATAAGTGTGTGTCAAAGCCGTCCTTCACCTAGCTTGAAGGGAACACAAAGGTTCTTTTCAGTAGCAAAATCCACTGCAGATATATATATGGGGAGGTACAACCTCCAACTCGGTTTTACAGTGAAACCGGCAGGCACTTCAAACCGGCACTAGGAAACAGACTGAGCAACCACAGTAAGTGTTTCTCCTGCAACGCGTTCCTTTTTACTGGATGAACGAATGTCTCTCCACATGCTCAGTTCTGAGAGATAAGTGTGTTTGAAAGCCGTCCTTTACCTAGCTTGAAGGGAAGACAAAGTTTCTTTCCAGTAGCAAAATCCACTCCACATATATATATGGGGAGGTACAAGCTCCAACTCGGTTTTCCAGTGAAAACGGCAGGCACTTCAAACCGGCACTAGGAAACACACTGAGAAACCAGAGTAAGTGTTTCTCCTGCAACCCGTTCCCTTTGTGCTGGATGAACGAACGTCTCTCCACATGCTCAGTTCTGAGAGATAAGTGTGTTTGAAAGCCGTCCTTCACTTAGCTTGAAGGGAACACAAAGTTTCTTTTCAGTTGCCAAATCCACTCCATACATATATATGGGGAGGTACAAGCTCCAACTCG